TAAGGTGCTGGTAAAGAGCTATGACATTCTAGCCCCAACTTAATCCAAGTAGCCATCGTCTCTCACCTAGAGACCCTTCATCATCCAGTTATACTTATTTCCTATTTTCCACATAGTAGAGATATTTTTCTTTCTTTTTTTAAGAGTGATTTTTCTAAAACACAGATATGAGCACATCTCTTTCTTCAGTCTAAAACTCTTCCCATGGCTTTTTGAACGAAGTTCAAAATTAATACTGCCTACGGAGTCCTACATGATCATAATTGTGCCCATTTCTCCTGTATTATCCCATGCCACCATCACCATTGAACATCACCCTCCAGTCATGTCAGTATATAGCCTCTTCATATTACCTTTTCCCCTTAGTAATGTGCATTTAAGTTTCCTCCATGTCTTTTCATGACTTGATAGCTCATTTCTTTTTAGCGCTGAATAGTATTCCAGTGTTTGGATATACTACAATTTATCTATTCACATACTGAAGAACATCTTTGTTGCTTCCAAGTTTTAGCAGTTATAAATAAAGCTGCCATAAACATCTATGTGCAGGTGTTCGTGTGGACATAGGTTTTCAGCTCCTTTGGATATATACCAAGGAATGTGATTGCTGGATTGTATGGTAAGAGTATGTTTAGTTTTCTAAAAAACTAATGTCTTCCAAAAAAGCCATTCTATTTTGCATTCCCACCAACAATGTATGAGAGTTTATGTTGCTCCACATTCTTGCCAACATTTGGTGTTGTCAGTGTCGTGCATTTTGGCAATTCTAGTAGGTGTGTAGCGATGTTTTGTTTCTATTTTAATTTGCATTTCCCTGATGACATATGATGTTGAGCATCTTTTCACAGACTTATTTGCCATTTTTAGAACAAGCAATAGTTTGGCATTTGCATACTGAACATTCTTAAGAGCTCTTTAGAAATATATTGCTTATCCTTTCAAAATTCCAAGTGCCATGTAAAATAAGTACAATGGGCTCAGAAATTCAAGGTGAAATTAAGAAAAATTAAAAGCCACAGTGAGATAAGCCATCTACAAAATTAACTCAAGAGACTGCTTATGAGCAGAGAATTTGATTTGGAAACACCAAAAATTTTGACTGAGTTTCAAAGAGGCATGAATAGAATGTGATTATAAATTGAAAAGGTAAAATCTAATCATTTGACAATAGACTGAATTATCAGAAAGAAAATTACTACATTAGGGAAAATCAGAAAGCTAGCTATGAGTTTCCAGCAATGTCTATGTAAAAGAGTGCCCCAATTAGCAGATTGGAATTCTTAAGTCCTCATTCCAGTGGTGGAGATGGGTAGGTAGAACAAATTAAAATTGAGGTAGTAATCATTAAGAATATCTAGTTACTCCTGTTTTAATGATTCTAGGCTCGCTATGTTAATTTGTTATTACAATTTGGTTTTGTATGTGTATTATTTAATAAATGAAAGACATACTGGTTATCAAACTAAACATCCCCATGTTTACAATATTTTCCATTGTAAACAGATGTGCATTCTGATTTATACTTGATATGTTGTAACTTTAATTAGTTAGAATTATCTTCCCTAATCCTGGTACTACTGATAATAGTAAATACTGTCTACATGGAAAGAAGTAAATATTAATCTGTATGGAAGGAAATGTGGGTGACATCATCCATCCATTTGTAATCAGTAAAAGAACGAGATGGTGATACAGAATATGCTTATTTTTTTCTATTCTTTATATTGTTTCCTATTTTAATTCCCTCTATGGTGATGGTGTTCAAATTTTAAATTTATATCATCATAATCAGAGGAAATTATTTACATTACAAATTTCTAGGTCTCATTCCCAGATATCCTGATATACTTGGTCTAGGATGGAACACAGAAATCTGCATTTTAAAAACATCTAATATACTTCTGATCTTGAGGGTTAGTGGACTAGACCTTGAGCAGCACGGTTCTACTGAGAACTTTGCTATCTTTAAATAAGTCTGTGGATCTTTAAACATTCATTCATTACTGGGCAAAATTTCATGTTTCTGTTAGGTTTCTATTAATTGGCTAACTCAATAATGTCATAAAACAGTTCCAAGCCTCTGGTTGGTCAGATCTGTGTATGGAAATTACAGAGAGTATTGAGGAAGTAGACCTCAGCTTTATAAGAATAACAGATTTGGAGTAGGGCTAAGGGAAGATAAAATGGCTGCAAGCCATCTACAGCCATGCCACCCTGAACGTGCCTGATCTCATCTGATCTCGGAAGCTAAGCAGGGTTGAACCTGCTTAGTACTTGAATGGGAGACCACCTAGGAATACCGGGTGCTGTAGGAGTTTTTAAAAAAATGGCTGCAAGCCTTACGGGGTTATGTGCTCTGAGCTGAAGAACAGAAAACAAAATCCACTGAGGAGGCCTTTCATATTCAGAAGCAGAAGCAAATAGGTAAGTGGCAATACCAAATAGATAGGAGATATTACCGTTTCTCAATCTCCATCATCTACCATAGCCGCCTTAACTAAAACAATCCAACCCATTTCCCATTTACCCAGAGAATATTCATCATCAGTGCTTGCAACTACAGTGTTTACCCCAGGATAACTCATGGCTTACAGTCCTAACCTTGCTCCCAAATTTGCCATGAAATATCTCACTTTTACTATTATTTTCTCATCGCTCTAGTATATCAATAGTCTTTGGAAACAAATGACATCATTCTATTTATAGCATTCTGTTTTTAATAGTGGTATTTTCATTTACAAAATATAGTAATTCTCGATTGCCGAAAATGTCAAATCCTAGAAAACGTAGCATTCCTACCTGTGATGTTAAATTAACGCTGGCAGCAAGCTGCACATTTTTTTTTCTAAATGGGAAAAGGGCTAGGTAAAAACAATGGAAGTGCAATTTTAAGTCCCCAACAATCTCTAAGAACAAGAATGCTTCCCCTAAACTGTTCTTATATAGAAACTTTCAAACTTTCTCCAGAAATGAACAACTATTTAAGTGAGAATGCGCAGTTGGAAGAGGATTCAGGAAATGAGGGACCAGGTAAGAGCAGGAAATTTGTTGAAGGTGATATAGGCTGCTATTACAACCAGGAAGTGGTGAAACTAGGGTTTGGATCAGTCAGACTCCAATGTCTAGAAACCTCTTTATTAGATTTTTCTAACATTAGTGTGCTTAAGGGTCATCTGAAGGTTGTGTTAAAAATGTAAATTCGTGACTGCAGAAGTTATGGTTTAGTAGGTCTTTTGTAGAGTCCTGAAATCTCTATTTTTAACAAATATCATAGATGGCTCTGGTGCATATGGTGAGTGGACACACTTTGAGAAACATTTTCTCAGAGAAATGCTTCTCAAACTTTTTCGTTTCAGGATTCTTTTCTATTATTATAGATTACCGAGGTCCCCAAAGAACATTTGTTTATGAAGTAAATAAGATTTGAGAAAAGTTTTCAGTATTAAAAACTGAAACTGAGAAATGTTTAAAATATTTGAAAATACCAATAAGACCATCACATTTTAACTAGATAACGTTTTATGAAAAGTAACTATTTTCCAAATTAAAAATATTTAATCAGAGATGTATTATGTCATATTAAAAATCTCTTTAATGCCGACTTAGTAATTCTCATAGCTGCTTCTATGTTCAATCCGTTGTGATATTTTGGTCGAAATATAGGAAGAGAATCAGGCTTCACACAAATAACATAGCTGGAAAAAAGAGAAGCTTGCAGACTCCCTGAGAGGATCTTGGAGACCACCATGGGTGGCTGGGACCACACTTTGAGTTACTGTTTAGAGGAATATCTGTTATTGCTATTAAGAAGGTCTATATTGGTCAGTTTAGGTTGGTCATTAAAGTGTCGGGACACCAAGGAAGGTAGAAAATTAATTTCTTCCTTAGATTGTTTTAGATTGTTAAATTATTTTATACAATTTACCCCAATATAGCTCTTTTGTAAATGTACTTTGTAAATTTGAAAGCACTATAGGAATATAAAATAGGAGTCCAGGTGTTAGGGCAGAGTTTTTTTTTAAGAAATTGGGTTTGGGGGAGTTTCCAGATGCTCAGACTGCGGCGCAGTGACTAGTACGCAGTGACTGGTACAAGAGAGATGGAGGAGATGCGGCAGTGGGAGATGGTTGGGATGGTCCTGGGAACTGCAAGGCTCGGGTGAAGAGGCAAGGCTTAGACGAAGCTGTGAGGCAGCCTCAGAACCATGAAGTACAGCTGCAGACTGGTTTCCGAAACATTCCTACTGATCGCATCTCTGATTGCATCTCTGGCTCTTCATCCTTGTTGACCTGGTATTATTTTTCTTCGTGTATCTTTTGACCTGAATGGTTTGCCTAATATCTAAATTATGACTTTGACTCCTGGAGTAGATTCTGAAAGTGATTACAAACTTATTGAACAAAAAAGACAGACAGGGTTATGCAACAGGAAAATTTCAAATTCTAAGGAAACTTCCTTTTATTTTACACATTACTCATTTGGGGGACTATGTTAAATGGATAATGATCTCACCCATTCATAGCTAAGTTCTTAAAACTAGACTCTTTGGTTCATGTTTTAAAACTACCAGCATCTGATGGCTTTACAGGGGCTGAATTAAAAGTATTGATACAAAAAAAAAGAAAGAAAGAAAGTGGGTTTCAGAACAATGATTCCATTGAGGATAGCAGGAGTTTCAACTGGCACACATCGGGAGACTGATTATAGGTAGGAAAAGTGGTGAAAGTAGAAAGCAACCTGTAGGTATTTATAGTAGATATTTACAATGGAATAAAGAACTATAATGATGAGAAAGTGATAACATAGCCTTTTAAGGAGGATTATTACTTTGCCTGAATAAAAGAACCTTTTGTTCTGGTCAGTGATACCTCTTCAGATTTGGTTACATTTGTTTAGTTACTTTAAGTTTTAGTTCTGTAACCTAAAACTTACTGCCAACTTAATGTAAGGACTTTAACAAATATTATCTGATTTCTCATTTATCTCTCTGGTCAATGTAGCAGAACTTGAAAAGGAGGCTGGAAAGAAGCAGTTGAGAAAGTGAGAATAAAACCAAGAGTGTGTGTAATCCTGGAAGCCAATTGAGGTAAGTGTTTCAAAGATGAGGGAGTGATCCACTCTATCAATGGATGCTTATTGATGAAGTAAAGATAAATAATGCATATTGGCTATCAGATTTAGTGACATGGGGGTCATTAGTGACCTGGACAACAAAAAATTCCCATTTTGCAGCGAAAGCCCCGTTGGTGTGGTATCAAGTGAGAATGGAAGGAGAAGAGTGGAAAACTGTATAAACAGCTCTTTCCAGAAGTTTTAATTAAAAAGAGCAACAGAGAAATGTAGCAGTAGACGATAGAGAAACAATAGCATGTTTGTATATTGATGTTTCTTTGAGAGCTTTGATGGTGAGCACCATACACATAGATCCTTTCCTTATAGAACCCATAATATAGTAGAAGGAAATGGTGTTCAAAGATTACACAGTAATTAGATAATTATCATCTAATTATCTAAGTATTAAAATAAAAAGTGCAAAGTGTGTTCATAGCATAGTTCTCAAACCTTACTTTTTCAAGGACATCAAGAAAGGCTTTTCTAAATAAATGATGTTCAAGTTCCACTCAGGGAGGGTAATAGTACATGCAGAGGCCCTACATAGAGGAAATATGGCTTAACTGAGAAATTGAAAAAAGGCCATTGAGTTTGAAGTGCAGAGAGGGAAGAAGATGAGTGGGGCAGAAGGCAAAGTTGAAAAGATAAGCAGTCACCAGATTATTTAGGTCAGAGCCTATAGAATCAGTTAAGTTCTTTGGTTTTAATGCCAAGAGCATTAGGGACTTTATGTGTCACCCATGACAAAAGTGAACCAGCCAAAATTGAAAGGTAAAAGGTGGAACAGATAGGAAGCAGAATGGAAAGGTGAGTTGCATGACTCCTATTTATACTGCTACAGATGGGACATTAGGCTCAGTCTATTTGTAGCTTTATAATCAGTTATTTCCCAATAAACTTGTTTTCAACAACTGAGAGATTTCTATCTTACTGATCAAATCATACAGTAAACAGGTCCAATTTGTTTGTTAAAATAACCAAAAACAAAAGATCATATTACTTCTGACAATATTTTCCAAAGGTTCTCTTCTGTCACTTAAAAATGAATATACACTCCAACTTTTTATTAGGAAATTTTCAAGCACATAGAAAATGTAAAAAACTTTTGCAGTGAATGTTTTCTCTGTTTTGCTGCACAATTTGGAAGTAAGATACAGACTTCACAGTGCTGCATATACAGATATCTCAGCATGTATCTCTTAAAAATAAGAGCTTTCTTTTTTGTGATCTCAATATTATAATATTTAAGGTAATTAAAATAATTCCCTGATATTATCTAATACATATCAATAGTGAATATCCCCAGATGTCACCTCAAAATCTTTTTTAACAGTTTTATTTGGGATATAATTTCATTTCAAATGCAAGATCCAGTGATTTTGTAAATTTACAAAAGTTATGCAACTAATCTAATTTTAGAGCATTTCTATCACTTCAAGAAGAAACCTCATATACCTGTTTTTTTTTTTTTTTCAATTGAACCTGGATTAATTCAGCGTTCATACATGGCATTTAATTATGTGTCTTTAAATCTTCTAGAACAATCTTCATTTTTCCCTATGTAATTTTAGAAAAGACCAGTTATTTATTTTATAGAATGTTCCACATTCTGAATTTAGCAGTGTTTTTTTTATCATATCATTTAACTTGTTCCTCCAGCTCCCCTACACTCAGTATTTTCTGTCAAGGTCTTGATTAGTTCATTCTGACATATTTGAGATAGAGCCCATTTGTTAATTATCTCTCTCTTCTAAAATATAAGCCTCATGAAGTAGTGGACTTTATTTGTATCGTTTAACAGTAGTGCCTGGCTCATAGTAGGATCTCAATAAACATTTGTTTGAGTGAATAAGTGAATTACCTACATTCAGATTATATATTTTATGTCGTATAGATTCAAACTTAGTTTTAGATATTTTATTTCCATTTTAAATTATATTATGGTAAAAACAAAAGTTATAGAACCATGATTTATTTTCCAAGATTGTCTAAGCCAGTAATTCAGACTGATGAAAAACAAGTTTTCTTCCATTTCAGCATACTATAAACATTTTAGTTGTTTCTCTAATTTTTAGGATATCAAACTTATTTCCATGATTAGGAATTTCATTCTCAAACATCGTGGAATAGATTAAGCCAAATAGATCATGAAGTTTCGATAGAGCTGCTTATCAGAAAATTTAAGGGATTGCATAAATAATCTGTATGCTCATATTCAGGGCTGTTGAGGGATTTCCTGTTAGAATTTACTTCTTCATTAGAGAAAAAACGATATCTAGAGTTACTGAGTTTGGAGTAAATCAAACAAATGTACTGGGATCTTCAGATTCCTGGTTCATTATATGGACAAATTATTTCAGTGTCAGTCAAAGGTTGAAAAAGATTCAGGGGAGTCTAGTTGAAAATGGCTGGCTTCCTAATGTGGAACTTTCCTATATTCCTGAGTACAGCATGACAACTGGTTCTGGCAATGTTATAATAAATAAGTAAAAATAACTGATAAGACATTTTGTTAAGTGTCAGGTTAGCAAATTTTGTGACTCGATATATGCCAAAGCAGTGGATATACCATGGCAGTCTGGCCAATGTTATAGCCTTTACCCTTTAGAGATCTACAATCCAGTGAGAGAAAAGGAAATACAAATGACAATCTACAAATATAAATGGCAGAAAAAATATACAGCCACATGAAGGAACAAAAATAAGTAGTAAGGAATCTGGAATATAAAAGGAAGAAACTCTTAGTAGAGTTTAGAGATTATCCATGGCCAATTTGGATAGTTTCCATTTCCTATTTGCTGATTATAGTTAACACTGTTCCTTAAGCATCCCCACACTTGCAGGTGTGAAGAAAGAAGGGAAAACTTGAATCACTATATTTTGACAGCTCTGGTAATTAGGTTGTATAAGGAAAGAAGTCGAAAATAATAACTTAAATGGTGTTTTTGAGTTTTCTGTACATTTTCATTTTCCCAAGCTATCCTCATTATCATAAAATTTAGTTATATCTAGCCAGAATGCATTATAGAAAAATAAATTAACTAGTTTAACCTAGACTTCTATCTCCACTCCCACCCAAAGAGAGATTTATGCTTCACGTACCTGAAAATTTTAGATTGATTAGACAAATTAGTAGAACACCTGCTTCAATTGTCCATATTTATAGAAACTGATATCAACAAATTTAAATTTTAATAACATTAGACTCTGCCTTTTCAAGGGATCATTTGTCCTGTGACCTTCTGCACTCGAAAGATAGATGTATAGTTACAAATAACCATTTTATTTTCATTAACGTCCTTAACTCGAATTTGCAGCCACTTTACATGCTATAACATTCTTTAATAATGCAGACTTTAAATCAGGCTATTAAGGGTCTAATCTTGGCTCTAGCATTTCCTAGCTATGAGACCTTGGACAAATTATTTAACTTTCCTGAGACTGAATTTCCTCATCTGTCAAATAGGGAAAATAATAGTACTTCATGGAGTTGTGAGAATTAAGTGAGATAATTCATGTCAAACACTTGGAACAGTACCTGTTCAAGGTGAATACTGAATAGTTGTAATCATTATTACATGATTTGTGATAATAGTCATAGGAATATCAATCTTTACATTTATGTAAACTTTTACAGTTGTCAAATCATGGCCAAAGAGTATATCATTTGAACCTGGGGGCAGGGAGTGGGATTGTAAAAGAGAGTGATCATATATCAGCTTAATTTTCATATATGAGAACTAAGACACAGAGAGTTTATATGATTTGTCTGAGAGCATTTAGCACGTAAATGGGAGAGCTGGGCCTTCAACTCTAATGATAATGAACACTAATGATTTGCTGCATCAGTAAAGTTAGTATAGCCTGCTTTGTGAATTTTCCTAAGATACTTTATCTGCCTTCACCAAGCCGTCTTCTTCAATGCTTTTCCTATAATTGAGAACTGTTTTTTTTTTCCTCCCCCCGAGGATGAATTCTGAGTCATCTCTTCTATACGGTTTCTCAAATCAGGCCAGTCATGGAAATGTGGTCCCCTTTGATTCCAGCATAATAAAGTAATGGTAACACAGATTTTTAGTTTGTGATGCTTCTGAGCACACCTTACTATTATTTCCAATAAGCATCCATAATTTAATTATTGTAACAAGTCTATATACTCTGGTCTTTGGATTTTAGGAAATAAGCATTTGTAGTCATTTCTAATGTGAGAAGAGATATGACATATAAATGTATCCAGCTTCAATAACTATATGCTTTTAGTTATTTCATAGCCAGCATATTCATAAATATGCATATTACATCAAATCAAATTATCTGTTCCGTCTTTAGAAAATATTGAAAAAAATGATATGGATGTGGCAGGTTATAGAAGGTAGCGATTCAAGCATCGATACATGTAAAACCAAGTAAGGCTATTTAAAACCACACATAAATAGATGTGTTTTTAACTGTGTTCTCTGCAAAAACATTAAGGAATGTCCCTGGTATTTTGCTTTCTATATTTAGGGCTTTATCTTTTAAAAGTTGTTAGAAGAGATGACAACTATATCCCGGTACAATTAGATTCTAGGGAAAAGTGACAGATTTTAAACTGCAAATCAATTTGGATACATAGTACATTGATTGCCTCAAGAAGCGTCTCATGATCCTCTAATATAAATGTCACTTTTAACACTAAAATGTAGATAAAATTATAAAGAATAAATGGAAGGCACAGTTCTATGTCTTTGCAAAATAATATACAAAAAATATTCCATTTATATCCTGGTCAAATGTGAATAAAATGGAGTTTTAGATGCTCTATGCTAAAAAACACTGACTTGCCAAGCTTTGTGACTTGAGGGATCTTGTCAAGGGTTTCTACAAAATTTATATTATGAGACATTTGTTAAATAGAAACTGGGACAGTGGGGAAAAGACATGTGGCAAACATTATTTTTGGGATGTGATTTTACAAGAGTCATGTCACACAGA